CAAGGCGATGCAAATTTAGTGACAAGGGATGTGCGCATCACTCCATCCAAGCCCACCCCATGGACCCATGGAGAGCGGAGGGGAGGAGGAGGAAGCGAAGCCTAGGATCAGAGGGATAGCGTTTTGCCGCTTTGCGCACCTGTTCTTCAGAAAGCTGGCGGAAAGGTGAGCCGGCCAAGGCGCCACCTTGCACAACTTTGCTGCCGTGCTGGTCAACTAGACCTTGCATTGTCCCTGCAGACGCGTGTACTCTAAACACCACGTCAGGAGCTCACGTCTGTGGCAACCCACGTACACACGTGGGTCAGGGAGATCGAAGCCTACGAGGGCAACAGGCACTTGGCACAAACAAAAGGGAGCCAAACGCTTGATCCGCTGCGCAACTTTCGGCGAAAGCTTGTTCATGACCTGTGAGGCAACAGCTAGTTGGATGTAGTGCTCTAGTGATCTTTCAGCTGACCATCGGCCCATAAATCTCAGAGTGGGAATACTGATTCCAGCATTAAAGTACATGGTGGCTCCACCTGGGCGGAGACATGCCGGAGTAAATCGGCAATCTCGCAAACCAAGTTCGTTGACCAGTGTTTAGAAAAAATGCGAAAAAAGCCGCGCCCCACCCTGCCAAAGGGGTTGATTCTCACCGTCGCGCACAATTTTTGCAAGCCAAGCTATGCAGTTTTCGTGCTTAACTAAAACAAACTGGTTCTCTCCAAACTGGCGTCTGTTTTTGGGAGAAACAATACGAATGGCCGCGTGGCGTTCACACATTATGAAGGAGCCTGGCAGTGACACATCCGAGTGATGGATCCTCATCAGTTCACCGGGGCGAAGCATGCAGAAGAGGCCGATTTCCAGTAAAACACTGAACACTTCCCAGTCATATCTGCTCACCGTGTCTGCCTCTACTTTATGGGCACGGGCAAGTCCAACCATGCAAAGCCAAATTGGTATGGGAAGTGGTTGCCGTAATCTGACAATTTGCTGCTCCTCCCACACCCGAACGTGTTCCCAGGCGGTGCTGAGCTTCCCTTTCAACCCAGGGAAGGCGTGCTGCGCCCCCAAGAGCGCATGTTTTACCAATGTCAGCTTTACCTGAGACGCATGCCTGCTCAACACATATACTCACTCAGGATGCGGTCTGCAAGCCTTGGTGTGTGAGCAAGCCTCGCAAAGCTGCACCCGGCTGATTCAAGACAATACGCGTAGAGGTCACGCAATCCAGTCAGCAGCCTCTCGCGATATGGTCTTGAGAAGCGACTGAAACGAAAAAGCAATCCCGCAGTACGGTTTGACCCATGGCTAGCCGACATAAGAAGCTCAGCTTTCATTTCTCTGACTGCTCCAACCTCTGTTTAAAGCTTTACAACATCTGTACCTTTACTTTTAAAAAACTGCAAAAAACTGAATGGGACAACCACCATTACGTTAAGTCCAAAATGCCTGGTTTGCTGCGCTGGTGTATCGGCGGCGCAACTGCAGGGGGTAATGCCCCCCCAAATCAGAACGGCGTCTCCAGCCACTTGGCGTCCGAACTCCACCAACAGCATGCACATGCTGCTTCTTACACGTGCATGACTGTGCTAAATCTTTCAGTGTGTGGAGATTTCCTATAATCCTTGTGGGTTTCTTACAGGGCCCATAGCGTCCTTGGCTGTCCCGGAGCATGAGTCCATAACTACACTGGTGTAAATGAACTTCATGGCAACGTTGCTCGCGCATTTTCTTTTCTATGGATGGCATTTTTCACCGGTAAGAAGTAAGGGGGTTTTCAAGAGTCCATGTACTACCCGCTGCCTCTAGAATTCTAATGAGGGTCATGACACGATCCAACAAAAGGTTACCTTCAATTTCTCTGGGCAAGGCATGGTTTCCCTGTGGTTTGCTGGCACGCCTCGTGCCCCCAGTTGAATGCTGCAAAACCGAAAAGGACGAACCAGGCATTGCAAAGTGCCACAGCTGATTTGGCCTGGCTGCTTCACCTTTGAGTTTTGAAAAGGTCTTCGAGTTAAAAAGGTTCACTGAAACT